ATCACTAATCGCTTATTCTTCTGTGAGCCATATAGCACTTGTAATTGCCGCAATTCTAATTCAAACTCCATGAAGTTATATAGGAGCCACAGCTCTTATAATTGCTCACGGTCTCTCCTTGGTCCTCAGGGAGGACCTCTGCACCTGTCACATCCCTGCTGCTTATGGGTTGCAGCACCAAGGTTTGGTTCCCAACTGTGTATCTGCCCTTCATACCCTTCTTGACATGGCTTTTTCTTTATATCTTTAGCTGTAGAAGAACTGTCTTGCTAGTCTTCAGTGTTTTCAGAGTGAGTTGCAATATATTTAGTTGCAGACTTGATGTGTAAGAAGGAGGTGAGCTAGGGATCCCCCTACTTCACACCATCTTTCCTGGTCATCTCAATATTAAGTTTGTCCTCTGTTATCTTTTATAGGGTTATTTGGTTTATTTTTGTGATATAAGGCAGCCATGGATACCCATGCCTAGACCAATTAGTTCACCACAAGTTAACAAAATGTTGATATAATTCTAGCAGCCCTTTGTTAGCTAGAATATGTGTATAAAGAGAAAATTCCTCTGTCTACTAATATGTCCCAGTGGAAGTCTGTAGAGGGAAAGAATATGCATCTTTCTGTTGAATGTGCTCATTCCCCAGCTTCCTCCAATGGTGGTTTTAATACATTCATTTTTAATCTTTATGGAACTCTTATTCTCTTATGTTCTTTCTCTCATAGCACATTCTGCTCATATTTTATGGATGTAACATCTGAACTCTATGTCAGGTGACTTTTAAAGTCCTTTTACCTATATTAAGTGTTTACTCTGGTGTTAATATTTCTATGTATCTTGATCTTTTTCTTTCTGCTGGTTTACCTCATTTCTCTGGTGGTTCTTGGTAATCAATTTATATTTAAGGAAGCTTGGGTTGCCAGGGTTGTGTCTCTGCTTTTGTGTTAACATGATTGTTTTACTCCCAGTTCTCTGAGTGGGGATTCTTCTTGGAATCTCCTTGTGGGACAGGCCAAGACTGGGCATGCTGATTTCCAACTTCATCTAAGGGTAAGAAGCTAATTGTTAGGCTGTTGGTTCTTTAAATATTTTTCTCTGGAATCATCATAAGCATCCCAAGTCTTAGCCAGTCCCCACTCCCACACCCCCTCCAGGCCCCTGGCAGAAATGCTTACTGCTTTTGTACTCTATGCATGGGAATGGATATGAGGAGAAACATCTTTCTCTATACAGGCTCTCAATCACCTTATTTTGGTTCTATTTCTCACTAATTCTAAGCCTAAAGCCACTCTGAAACTGTCTGCTAAATTTGCTCCCATCTCCTGAGGCCCTTTAGTGGCATAATTTTAAGATTTTTCCTCCAGTTTCACCTGTCTTCCAGAAATCTATTGTCTCCATTAGCAAAACTCTGGCCTAGTTTTTATTTTTTTGCTTTTATAGGTTTTCTGCTTTGAATATCTACAATTTTAATTTTAGTAGGCTTTTAGGAAGAGTGGGAGAGAAATGTAATCTAGATTGCCATAAGAACTAACTTTTCATTAGTGTTCAGTAGAAAAAGCAAAATGCTTGTTTCAGCCAGCTTAATACTTGATCAATATGAATTATTTTCTTAAGAATATTGATGGATATGCTTGATATGAGTACCAAATTTAAAACTTCAAATTATGAAACTGTTTGCTTATTTTTAATCTCATGAAAAGAGTCTTTTCCTAACATGTATTTCATGCTTGTAAAAACTTATCTAAATACAGAAATATATAGTACCAGAAGAAATATTTTAAATTAAAACCAATATCTCTATTTAATATAATTTTCCATTTAAGGATGAGCAACTGTCATGATTCTACAGTCAAATTTGAAACTTTTCCACTTTCTTGGCAAAAGAGCTCTAATTTAACCTTTAGAAACTAAACATTTTGTATCATAAATAACATGTTAAATTACCATACCTCAGAAATTTAGATTAAGACTACAATAAACTGAATTTCAAAACAAGAATATAGAGATACTTATTTTGATTAAACAACTAATATTAATTCTGAGTTAATATATAAGAAAAACTCAGCTTAAAGCTGTCTTTATAAACTCAAGATGATTTAGAAACCTTTAAGACAGACTAATGGTTCAAGAAGGTAAAATAAAGGCCTTCTACATCCTTTTCTTGAAAATTATCCCAAAATAAGTAAAAAATAGCATTTTTTTATTAAACTAGGAGCTACTTCTAGCCACTAATAAATCACAAACTTTTAAAAACTTTTATATTTTAAGAAAGCATGAAGTATATTGAGAAATGATAAATTACCTGTTTGTGTGCTGAGTGACTTAAGTGCTATGGCCTGCAGAGATACTGAAGATAAGTAAACCAATTCACCCAAGAAATTTCTAAGAACTGGAAGAACTAGGTACCTAGAAAGGCTGGGATAGGCAGGGGATTGAAGCAAGGATTGTTTGAAATGTGGAGGTAAAGAGAAGATGGGGCTCTCAGATTACTTTCCAGTGGACTGGTGCAGAGATGTCTATTTCTGCTCCACACCCCTGGCGCAGGCAAGGGAGTGAGAGAGATATGTGTGTACAGTCTCTGCAGAACCTAAATCAGAGACTGGACTGGGGAACAGGCACAGATGAGTAGAGGCGGAGCCCTGGGACTGAAAATGAAGACTGACTGTGTACTGACCAGTGAAACCCTCTCCAGCCCCACCCTGCTCCCCAACACAGGGTCATTTATGAATCCCTGGTGAGAAAGTCAATGGGCTGTCTGTGGGCCCGCCAAAGGATGGGCTATCTCCCCACAGAGCTTCCACAATTTTTTTTTTAACTTTAAAAATATACAGTAAAGAGCTGCTTAACATTTGAAGAAAGCCTCTATCATGACAGAAACCAAAACAAAGAGGAAAAAGTAACAGAGGAAATAAAGCACACATATGGCAAACAGAAAATAACTTTAAAAAACTAATTCATATCTCTAGAGAGATGAGAAGGTGCAGCATCTGCCAAACAAGTTTATGGTTGAAAAAAAGAGCTTTCAGAGACTGAAAACAAAAGCTGAAGTTTGTTTGTTTGTTTTTTTAAAGCTCCAAACATGAGGCACCTTTTTGAGAGTAGGAAAAAGATAAAAATTGTAGAATTAAAAAAAAAATGAGATCAGAATGTCAGCCTGAGAGGTCCAAAGAGAGAATGGGGGGAGAGGGGAAATCAAGAAAATTTCCTAGGACTGACAAAGATGTACTTCTGTACTAGATGGAAGGTGCTAGCAGAGAGTGCACAAATTCTGAATGACAAAAAAGCCCATTAAAACATCTTCGAGAAATTTGATAATACCAGAAATGAAGAACTAAAATATTCCTCAGGGAAAAAAATAGGTCACAGAGAAAGGACTGGGAATCAGAATAACAACTGATTAATCAACATTGGAATCCAGCAAGGGAACACTGTAAATTTTCAGTGAAAATTAATTCTAATCCAAAATTTTATGCCTAGATAAAAATAATCAAGTGCAAGTGTTTTTACTTTTCTTTCATTAAGTATCCAAGTGAACTTTCAAGAGGAAGAATACATTTCCAAACGTGTCCCATCAAAACAAAACAAAACAGAATACATGGGATCTAAAAATAGGAGTTCTATCACAGAAAGACACACTAGTCCAAACTGAAGCAGAAAGGTGGAAGGGTCAGGAACTAATGGAATTATCTAGATTATCTAAGCAGGTTTCCTCATGTGAAAAAGTAAATAAAAGGCATTCTGCATAGCTATCATAAAGTGTGAAAAGGCTTTACATTTTAAAGGAGGCCAAGTAAATAAAAATATGAGGAAAGTTACTCCAGGAAATGTAAAAAGTAGTATACTATATGGTTCAGCAATCAACAATATTTGATAGACATAATAGTAACAACACTCAATATTCATATAACCAAAAATGCTGAAATAACTACATTGATTGGATTATGGAGGAAATAACAGGTGGAAAGGTCAGTATTGAATGAAGAACTAAAGTGCTAGTAAACCTTAATGTAAACAAAGGAAGTGAATTAACAGAGAACAGAATATGTATAATATTTAGATATAGGGAGATAAAGAGCAAAGTGGTTGTATCTTAAAAAGTTGACTTAGAAGTAGAGGGCATGAAGTTTTTAAATACTACTTCACTTTTCACTCCATTATGAATATATTCTTTTCCATAGTGATTTATAAATTAATTTGGAATATGGAAAAAGCATCTAAGATATTTAAGTAAGTCTGAATTCTATAGCAAATCATTTTATGATCCTAGTTTTCTAAGCAGATTTTAGTATAAAACAATATAATCATAAAAGTGCTAATTTTAAGGGAATGAAACACTGAAGAGGGAAAGCACGTCTTACTATCTACAGTTCATTTAATGAGCTAAAATGACACTGGCAGAAGCTCATCAAATGATTTGGAAGAAAATGAGCCCAGGGACCCAGATGTGTTAGCTGACGGAATTGGGTGTATGAGGTTTAGTGTGGTGTAACAGTAGGTCACCGAGTGAGAAGCCAGGGGACACTGGGTCTTGTGCTTTGAGTTACTTTTTAATTTTTTCTTAATTTCTCCAAGTTTCAGTTTCTTGGCCTACAGAGACATACACAATGATGATGTCACAGTGTGACCTTTTCACCATGGTCAGGTATCACTTGTGTTTCAATATACAATGCTGTGAACATGTATGTTTTAAAGGAATAAAATGACCTGGTAACAAACTACATTGCTAGAGAAAGCTAGTTGCTGAGCTTGACACAAAATTGTTTCCCATTATTGGAATACAGGGTAGTAGTTTATAACTTCAACCTTGAATTTGTAATAGCAGTGTACTGTTTAATCTCTTACATAATTGCTGAAATGTGCAGGCCAATAACAATGCAAAATGCACGCTAACTTTAATAAAAATAAATTTAAGTTTAAATCTTTATCGGCAATTCACTGTAAAACACTTGAAGGCATCTGCTTAATATAAAAGTTAAAGAACAAACAAACAAACGACTTTAGAACGTACCAACCATTAAATCCCAGGTACAGATCCAAATCAATCAAAGCAGCTGCTGCTTCCTTGGTACCATCAAATGAATGTACCTAGGGATACATCGGTATAATTTTATTACTACAATGATTATTTTCTTTAAAATTCTAAGTAACATTAATAAGACCTTCTAGGATTTTCTGGACCACAGGGTTTCAAATGTCATGGCCCCTAGAATTTTTATTTTCAAATCAAACTCACAAGTATAACCTATCTTCATCTCCAAAGGCATGAGGCAAGAAGGGGCTGCCTAGGATTTCTCTCTGTGGCTGTGTGGATGTCTCTACGCCAGCATTACTGCTGTACCTCCAGGAAAGGGGTCTGGAGTCAGGAGCCATATTCGTGGGCAAAAGCATGAGAAAAAGTGAGAAATGTTAAAACCTATTTAAAAAATATTTTTAAATGTTTAATTTTTCCATTAAAGGAGACTTTTTCCATAAGAGAAATGATCTGGGACCTGTTTTAAGAGGCTCTATGAAAGATAACATCATGAAAATAGGTAAATAATTATATAGTCAATAATATCAGCTCAGCATGCAAACAAGAATGAAGTGGTGTTTTTCCCCTTCAAAGAAAGATACAGGGGTTAAAGCAGTCTGTCACACTTTGGATGTATTCATGTAATCTAAAAAGTAAGTAACAACACTCCTTTAAACACACTTAACAAGTGATGTCACATTAATACAGTGCCCAAAGTCTGATTACACACTATGGATACCCTGTGCCTCAAAAAAAAAGAAAACTGTGTTACAGTTACCCGAAAGGAGTTTATTCTTCCTCTCAGCGTTTGTAGCTGACTAAAAAGCACAGCCTTCATTAATATCAAAATAATTTAAAATATGACTCTTCACAATCATCTCAAAATTATTTGGCAATCCTTTTTTTTTTTAAATAAAAGTCAAACATTTAGGTTGGATTTGTTGCTGCCATTAATTTTTAAGAATGATTATAAAATCATCCAAGTAAATTCTTATTTAGAAATGAACTGAGAGGTAGAGGCTAAAGGTCTTAAGTGCCACCAGTAATCTCAGGGCATTAAGGAAATATTCTCTTGATTCCCAAGTACAGTCCCTAGAAGTATAGATCACAGGGATAAATATATACACAGTAATATTAACATCATACAGAAGGCATACATATCACTAGTAGTACGAAACATGAAGCACGGGCTAAAAACTTGATGGAAAACCTATGAAACTATCAAAGCCACCACACAATGTGAGTATACAATAAGGGCTCTGCCATTTCCTTTTTCCTTAGTTAGCTTAGTATAAATGTCATTTTACATACCCGGGTAACTTTTTTGCTAGAGACCAGTGAGTAACTCCTAAAATTATGTGAAAATGTATACATCTGAGATTTTTTCTGAGACAGACTTTCAAAGGCAGCCGTTATTCAAAAAAGATTAAAAATCACTGCTATGAATACCTAAGCTAAGTGGTGGGCAGACAGTTTTTATGAGAATTGTCTCAAGACTAATAGTGAGTGAAATGACCACATAATCATGTTAAGAGTAGATCAGAGTGATAATAGTAAATGAACACAACTGACAAGAAATTAAGATGGCAAACCTGAAATTAATGTTAAAATATTTAAAAATATTAAGATATTATTTTGCACAAAATTGAAGTTGAAGAACATTAAAGAATAGCTGATGGAAGAGGCAGAGAAAAAGGATGTTACCCACACTGTTAAAAAGTGTATAAGTAAATTCACGGGGTTTTCTTATGAAAAGAATTCTGTACTCATTCTTGCACTTTAAACAAAGTAACAGTAATTAAATCAGTATGATTTATTTGTGCCACATCTAGCCTACAGATTCAACAGTAAATTTATATGTCCTTCAAATAAGAAAGAAGAACCTTAATAACTTTATTGCTGATATCTGGATTACTTCAGAGGCCAACCTTAACAACCAAGACACTTTTGAGCGTCTAGTATTAAAAACAACTCTTTTTATACTTACTACTCCACCTACACACCGATCTCTGTTTCTTTTCATTATGTCTGTGAATTAAAATCAGAAACAACTTTCAGCAAATAGCTTATCTGATTTCTGTAAAATTCTTAAATTATAAATGAGATTTTAGCTTTAACTCACCCAAAAATGCATCATGAGAGTTCCGACAGTGAAGAAACATTGGTAATTTTGTTTGTTCTGACAGTTCAAACTGTTTTTCAAAATATCTGCATAATGCAAAATTTCCTTGTTGAAAATTTTATTTTAGCATGAGAAAAATAGTTATGTCATATTTTTTCTTTTTTTTTTTTTAGCTAAGGGACTTTTATTCTCTAGAAATTATAGATCAGAAACTGAAGTTAGACATTTAAAACACATTAGGCTTAGTGAAAAACTTTTATAACACACAACTTCCTGAAAAGAGGTATTTCATTTTCTAGAGTTACAAAATTATTTTCAGAAATGTTTGCCAGTTTTTGCATTATACCTGCCAGGTTAATTAGCACTTTACTATTGATTGCTGGAAGCAAAGAGCTATAATGTTTAAGTTTACAGTGACGGGGCTGGGCTGTTCCACCAAACAAGCATTTTGGCCAAATCCCAGTAAATGAAGTAGACACCCCCCCATCACCTGTGGGTTCCCTTCCCTGCATCATGTGTTGGTGGTGGAAAATATACCACCTACCCTGAGCCCCCACAGCTGGCTGAGTAGCATCAGTGGGAATCAAATCACTCCTGTGAGAAGCCAGGAAATGTTTCATACTCGGTGTTCTACGTGCTGTTATACAAGAAAGTACTGCCACTGAACAAAAAGAAAGATTCCCTTTAAAACAACCTGTAAGGATTTGTTAAATAGCACAAAAACTAAAATACTCTATTTTTTAGAAAAACAAAATTACATGATAAAATGGCAGCCCTGAATATTTCAGACTACTTTACAAAAAGGTTTTTCAAGTGCCACAAACCACTGTTTTATTTGATCCTCAAAACAACCCAAGGATAGGAGTAGTGTCAGAGTGGGGCAGGACTTTTCCCAAGAGGACAACACAATGTGGCAAAGTTGGACCAGAACTTCAGTGGTTCTAATTCTGAGTCTCAGCCAAAACAATAAAAAGTTGTGGCATTTCAAAGAAGCCTCCCCTTCCTTCCAGAGTACAATGACAGTATCCAGATACAATGGGGGGTGGGGGGCAGCGGGGGCATTCTGTATGTTTTCCATTTCAGCCCAGTGCTCCCTCTTGTTCTTGTCCTAATGGCCATGTAGTTTAAGTAAAACCAGGAATTACAGCCAATAGGCTTCTTATTTTCCTAAAAGGTTTACCTCTTCTAGGCCCCTTAATTTTGGGGGACAATTTCTCTCTGTTTAACTTGTCTCTTTGAAGTGCAGGACAACTGTTTTCCTGGAATACCCCTTGTACTCATGAAAATGCTAAATTTTAAAATTAGATATAGAAATGTACTTTGTAAGGAAACAGTCTTCTTAAAGTTAGTAGTCTATGTCTTCATTACCCAATGTTAAGATTTTTGAATCAACCTTTTCAGATTCTGCTTGGCTAGAACAAGCAGAAATATTTTTAGTTAACAAAGTGCTGAAATTTCAGTGTAGGAAATATAAACAAAGCCTTGGAAGAAAATAAGATGTTAATAATTACTTCTAATCACTGTTTCCATTAACCTCTAAAGTAATTTAATGTCAACAATTAAGTGTGCTCTGGGAGTTAGCAAACTTGATCTACACTGATCATTTTTCTCACACACAAGTCTATGTACAAAGCCATACAACCAAACCACAGATTTATGGAACCTAATGATCAGCCTGGAAATAAGCCTTTCTATCACAGAGCAAAGTACAATTTCTGAAAATAAGGGATGCCTGCCTAAGCAATGTGCCTACAGAATTTTGCATAATTTGAGAAAAGAAAAAGATCCATGTGGTCAAGCTAGCTACATATCCATAAGGAAGAAACCATGTGGAAAAAGTATTCCTGATGATATAAATTAAGGATAACTGGTACTTAACATCAAGTGACAATATATTGTCTTTAAAGAAAAAACAAAATAAACCCCCCACGGTAATTAATAATAAGAATATAAGTTAAAGGGCAGGAACTGGCATCTCTTAACAGACTACTCTTATGATTTTATTTTTAGTTCACAAATGAAAATCATTCTTTACTTGAGTTAGATTTGCTCATTTTAGTGAAACTACAATTTGCTTCTGATTGCATTTCTGCTTCTTACATTTTAGGGTCAACAATAACTAAGGACAAGGGCTTGAGAAGTTCAACTTATTAACTATATCAGAGGCAAACCAAAACAGCCAATGCATACACCAGCACACTTTAGCCTGTGGTGGTAATCCTCTTCTAAACAGGCTGAGGGCAAGGGTAGCCTCACTCTCTCATCTCTGAGGTCACCTAGGTCCAAAAATGATCATTTTGACATCTTGTCTGATGTCTGATTTTTTTAAAGACCTGTACAGTATTAACATTATAAAGTCCCAAGAAAAATGCCCAAAGGAAATTTCCTGCTCAAGTGAACAGAACTCTAACTTGTAACAGGGAAAGGAGTATGTACAGGGCAGAGAAACTGAAAATACAAGGACCTTTCCATCTTACTTTGCTTTTCTTTTGGCTCTTTAAAATCAACTTTTCAAAAACCCCAAACAGAAACTATGGCTAATATTTTCCTTTAGGATGGCAATATTTCTAGTAATAATACAATAGTCACAATTTATTGAGCACCTAACTCTGAGCACAGCACTCTGGGCTTCACATACCAAATGTTAAGGAAGGTAGGCAGTTCCATCCCCATTTTAAAGATGAGGGATTTCAAAGGAATATACAGCCACCACACAGCAGTTACGATTCAAACACAGAACTGTTGATCTCAAAGATCTTACTTTTAACACTGTTATATACTGCCTTACTTACCATTATTTTCCAGACACTATGTCTACAGCACATTAATTTTTTTTCTCTGGTCTCCTAGTCCATTACACTAATTTGCTTTCTATTTTTCTCTTCTCGTACACCTTTTTCCTGACTCATTTTTACTTAAAAAAAAAACAAACAGTAGATCATACATTAACTGTTTCTGATGGTATAAAAGCATAAGTGAAAATCTAAATTCTTCCAAGAACAGACCCAATGGGAAAAGCTGAATTACAAGCTTTTTATCTATGGTGCTCTACAGGAATCAACAAGATCCTTAACTCCTTATTAAAAATTCAACATTTACTGAGTACCTACCATGTGCTAAGAGTACTGTGGCTGCTGCTATGGGACTATGAAACAAGTAAGGCGTGGTATGTGCCTTTCAAGAACTCAGACATGCTAGTTTGTTGTGGGAGGGGGAAGGGGTAACAAACATACTTTCAGAACACGTGAGAAAGGGTGAAACAAATAAAGTGCTGTGGCAGAGAACAAGGACTGCATGCTGTGAGGACATGCTGGGGAAGGGGAGGGAGCCAATGTATAAGGCATGAGTGTGCACTTCTTTAACAACAATCCAAATGTAATTACTACTGGTGTGTCATTTTCTAAGTCATTTGATGTTTTATACTTCTTAAAAATCTCAAACTGAACTGCCTACCTTTTTAGAATTTCTACCTTCAGTTTGTTCTTAGTTTCGCCTCTCTGGAAGAGGCCCAGCACAGCCTTCCCTAACTCCCCAAAAAGTCAGTCCTTCCCTGTGCTGTCCACACACCTTTTTGATAGCATTTTCCAAACCATTTTAATTATTTATGCCCTCTTTTGTCTATAAAAGTCATGAGAAACATTTTATTCTTCTTTGCATCATACTGAGAAGGGGGTTGGTAACCATTTACTGAATGAATGGAGTTCAAACTCTCTAGTACAGATTAACACCTGGACATTTGGCATGTGTGTTAAACCATAAACCATACCTGTTATGCTTATTGTTTAATGTTCTGATTTTAAAACAATGGTGAAGTATCCCCAGAGCAGTAAAACAGAACTGATACTATCAATTTCATTTAACGCCAAAAAATCGAGTTTGAAGTATTCAGGTTACATTTTACATTGTTTTAACTCATTCTCAAAGAAGAGTCATATGGACAAGAAGCCTTGGGGGCCTCTGCCTTTGCGCTTGACTGTCACACCACACAGTCTGTTGGCTTCAGAAGGTTCATCTTGAATGAAAACAGGCACTAAAGTGGAGGAATTATGATCTGTAGCCTTAACCTAAGAAACTATTACAGACAACTGCTTTTCTATTTCAATATGAATACATGAACTTTAAAGGTTAAATGACCTGACCTATATGACATTCAAGAGAGGTGCAGAGATTTAGTAATCCTGCCAATGTTGCTGAAAACTACAACATAATATGCCACTAATTGAACAGTTCTGAAAGATTATGTAAATGAGAGGCCTGAAAGAAAGAGTCCATAGAACATTACTCTAGTCTGCCCTGTGTCACTTGGTTATGGACCTTCACACTCTAGGAATTCTGGAGCTTGAGGTCTAGGGTGTGGCAGACTCATTATAATGTCAATCTGCTCCTCACTTATAAGCATTTTCAACTGGACTGGACATACTTGGATTTCATGTGTGGTAGAGCAGGGGAAGGATGTAGAGGAAGTACACTTATGCCATGAATAATTTGAAAAACCCCTTAGGCCATCAAGGGCTTAATCAAGATCATATGCACAAATATAATTATTAAATATTTTGACAGAGCTAGACAGTTTCTTAAGAGAATTTGATTCAGACTCCTCCTTCATGTATAAGAAACTAAGCAGGATGGAGGGTTGTTGATTCTTAAATGGCTCCACAGACAGATATTATACCTTATTCATATTTTTGGATACTAAGCTCCTAGCAGTTTCTGGAACATATTACTGTATAAATATTTGCTGAATGAATGAATAACTAAATTAATCTCCTTTAGAAGTTTATTCTAATGTTTTATCTTCTTGACAATACATTGTTTTTGAAATACAACTAAATGCTCATGTCTTAAACTAAACCTATGACCTAATTTTTCTTTCCAGACTATTAACACAACCCACTGGTATAATGCCAGAAGCTCCAACTACATGGACAATGAGTTGTAGAAGTTTCCAAGGCTTGTGAGCTATGGAGTTTTCTCAGAAGCCACTACTCTCAACATGGCTTCCAAGAAACAATTTTCTCTTTTCACACTGATGATATCCAATGCTCAGCAAAAGTAAAATATGCTTTTCTAGCTCTAGTGATTGATCCTATATTCTCCAATATACCTTGTTCTTAAATCACATCCCCCACAACTGAATTTAATTCATTTAATTGGAATGGTCCATGTATAAATGCATTTATGAAATAAAACTTATCCCTTATTTCTACTGTTAAAATCAAATTAGATGGTTACTCAATTAAGGAACTATATGCTTCCATCCCTTATGAATTACATGCAAGTATGCATGGAATTTCTTTTACTTAACTTTTGGTATATAAAAGGAAAAATGAAAAACCCTGACACTTAATCCAACTACATTCTGAACTGATAAAAAGCTATTAAAAATCATTCTTTAAGATTTTACAATAATTTCTAATGTCAACAAATTTCCTTACTTGAGCTGAGTATCTCTTGAACAAAACTGTAGTCGATCAAAGTCTTTAAAGATAAAAAAGAATCAATCAGTCCTCTTGACTTACACAGAACAAATTATTTTCAAACAAAGGCACTCTAACAGGGCTAGGTTGGCACTTACCGAGTCCACATTCCCCTATTGCTACAACTTTCCCTTTATTGTTTTCAGCAAGATTTAGCAACTCTGCTAAGTAGTGATCAGGATTATTCTTTTCAAATTCACTGCATCTTGTGGGATGGCATCCAACTGTACTGAAAAATATAGCTAGCACAAAGTAATGTCATAGGATTATTTTCAAAATATCTTCTTTATACTTAATATGCAAAGATAGTGTATCAAAGAATTTCAACTGATTAACTTTTAACAATAGCCATAAACTATTTAAACTATCAAAATTACATCAGGTTAATCATATGAGAATTTTTGGAATACCTCAAAATAGGGCATGAAAATTGCCTTAATCTATTAGTAAAAAAAAAATTAATTAAGCTCTTTCCAAAGCTTGGTATTTACTAAGCCTTGCAGAATGGAAAACAAATCAGTTTCTTGCAGAATGAAATAAAACCTAATTTTATCTTTTATACTCATGATTCATGTGACAGTTGTGTTTTCATCTATTTAATGTAACAATTAAAATGCATTCCTTTCCCTTAAAAGGGGTGATGTAAATAGGTGGAAAGGAGATCTGTTTTTCTAAGAAAAATTAAGCTCACTTATTTGGAGGCCATACTTTGATAGCTTTAATTGTATGGAACACAAATGTGAAGTCAAAAGGAGCTTCTGAGTGGCGTAAGGTACCTGCTTAAGTGGAATCTCCCTCATGCATATGTTTATATATAAAAAGAAGCCAAACTTATATAGCAGTGAGGACACAGGTACATGGAGAAGAGTGGAGGAGAGATGAAAATGGAGATCTGAGAACTGTTTAAAGCCTATCTGGAGATAAAAAGTATGGGAGAAAACATTCTTATTTCAAAAGCTTCTGTGCAGATGATTTTATTTTTATGACCTTAATCACTAAGAAAAGGTGTCAGTGGGTTCTGAAGTATGCATTTTAAAAGATTTCCAAAAAAACAGTTTTTAACAAGTATTTATTTTAAAAAATGGTGGGATGCCTAATTTTTCAGTGTCTAGTACATGAAACATGCCCCCCCAAACCCCAGAACATTAAGTAAATGAATGCCAGATAAAGGGGGTGTTTTATGTAACCAGGATTCTTTTAGGAACCAATCCCAAAACTTTATAGGTATTAAATGAATGCAAAATACATGAACATAAAGTAAGTACATGAGGGATTATACATTATCACTTGCATTCCTTCAGCCTTGCCCAGTGGTCTGCATGATAAACTTAATAAATGATCTTTCACAGCTTAAGTTAAAAAAGAGCAAATAAAAAGCAACTCATATCTTAAACATATTCTAACATACAAACAAAATTTCTATATCAGGAATAGTTGAGGTTAAATTATATACCTAGTCAACTTAATTCTCACTAACTGGAATCTTAATAATCCTTACTTAAAAACCAGTAAAATGAGGATTTATCAAGCATCTGATATACCAATGGGCACTTTGAATTTCTTCATCTTGATCATGTCCCACTGCAATCAGTCTATTTTCCTGTCTTTTCTACAGTCACGATCCATTGGATTGTACCTGAGGTAGTTCTCAGAAAGACTTCTTCAAAATAATTTAATTCATATATTTTTTTGTAAAAGTAATATGGGGATACCATTTGTTTGTGCCAAATGCAGTGCCTCTTTACTGTCTTGTAGATTTCCACCTGTAATTATAAACTGAAACAGAAAGAAATAAATAAGCCCTATTTAGCAGGAGTATCAACAACAGTTTCCTAAACATGCCTTTCTGTTTTTTCCAGAATGCTTTTCTGACTGTCCCCGAGCTACCCTTCCGTTAAAATTCAGCTGAAAGATTACCTCCTAAGAAGAGTGGTCTTTGACTACCCCCCCTCTCCACACCCATGTGTACATGCACACATATAAAACACAGAACTCATCACTCCTTCCTATTAAAATGTACTCACGTTTGTCTTTCCTACTAGGCCATGTGTTCTCTGAGGACAGAGATCATGTTATGAAACACTGAATAACTAAAGACCTCTGGATTTAGAATTCTGTTCATCTAAATTAGAGATTCAATAGCACTGATTAATTCAACAGTTCTCCAAGTGTGGTCTGGGAACCACCAGGGGATATGTAAGGTCAAAACTATTTTCAAAATACCACTAAGATGCTATTTGCCTTTTTCACTTTCACTCTGTCAGGAACACATGATGAGGTATTCCAGAGGCTACAGGATGTATGACAGACTACTGAAATAGATATGAAAATTCAACTGTCATCTATTAAGCCAGACATAAGAGATGTAAAACAATATAGAACCAGTGGATCAGATTAAAGATGGTGGAATAGGAAGGCAAGAAAGAGGAAAATACAGCAAATGCAACTAGACCTGAAAACGACCTGAAGACTGCAGAACAGACCCCTACACCTGAGGAAGAAGAGAGGACCACACAGAAAAGGGTGAAGCAGCAAAGCTGAGATCGAGCAGGACCCAAGCCCTCCCCCACAGCAGCCTACAGGTGGAAGAAAGAGGAATGGAGCAGGAGTAGGTAGGTGCTCAGGAGAGCTGCACACCTCGCCCTGGAGATCTGCTCTAGGAGTACAAGCCCACATTACATTGGGTCCTGGTGACTGTTGGGGCTGGACACCAGGGGCAGGTGGAACACTCTGGGAGGCTGAGACTCCAGCCAGTGTGGAGGGAAGGCATGCTCCACCAGTCCTGAGACCCAAATCAGAGGTGGCAGTTTGAAAGACTTGACAGCGGGAGGGGTACCAGAGATGACAAGGGTTGGACAGAACTCTCTCCTCAGGGGAAGGTGGAGGATACCTCCCCAGTCCTTCCTTGGCCCAACAGATCGGGAACTCTCAGGAGCTCCAGATGCTCCATCCCTCTTGCTGGTAACGCAGCCCCAAGGCACCTCCCTGCATGTTGCCAGGAACCAACCCATTTGGCCCAGCAGCAGCATCGACTTTGCTGCCTGACAGGCAGAGGGGGACTCTCCCAGCTTGCTTGGCTCCATTTCAGCCCAACCAGGGAGGTGCCTGCAGGAGCCAGCCCCAAAAGCTTCCTTCCTCCCTGCTGCTGTCCAAACCTGGTGCTGTGTGTCCAGCTGGGCCACATCGGTCCGCTGTTGTTATATAGGAATGCTGATAACTAGAGTAATCAGCAATTTAAGATAGACTATTATATAGCAAAGAAGCCATCCTTGAACCTTTGGTAACCACAAAACTAAAGCCTACAATACATGCACAAAAAAATAGTAATAAATTTTAAAGAGAGAAATTCAATTATAACACTAAAGAAAACCATCAATAATGAGAAGAATGTAAGAGGAGGAAGACGAAAGAAACAAAGAGGAGATATAAAAAATAGCAGAAAACAATTACTAAAATGGCAATAAGTACATATCTATCAATAATTACCTGAAATGTAAATGGACTGAATGCACCAATCAAAAGACACAGAGTGGCAGAATGGATAAGGAAACAAGACCCTATATGCTGCCTACAAGAGACTCATTTCAGACCCAAAGACATACACAGACTAAAAGTGAAGGGATGTAAAAAGATATTACATGCAAATAAAAGGGAGAAAAAAGAAGGAGTAGCAGTACTTATATAAGACAAAACTGATTTCAAAACAAAGAAAGTAACAACAGACAAAGAAGGACGTTACATAATGATAAAGGGGTCAGTCCAACAAGAGGATATAACCATTATAAATACCTATGCACTCAGCACAGGAGCACCTATATATGTAAAACAAATACTAACAGAATTAAAGGAGGAAACAGATTGCAACACATTCATTTTAGGAGACTTTAACACACCACTCACATCAACAGATAGGTCAACCAGACAGAAAATAAGGAAACAGAGGCACTGAACAATACATTAGATCAAACGGACTTAACAGATATCTGCAGAACACTCCAGCCAAAAGCAGCAGGATACACATTTTTCTCAAGTGTACACGGAATATTCTCCAGAACAGATCACATACTAGACCACAAGAAGAGCCTCAAAAATTTAAAAAGATTGAAATTGTATCAAGACAGCAATGGTATGAAACTAGAAATAAAGCACACAAAGAAAACAAAAAGACTAACAAACTCATGGAAGCTAAACAACATGCTTTTAAACAATCAATGGATCAATGAACAAATTAAAACAGAAACCAAGCAATACAGGGAGACAAATGAAAACAAAAACACAACAGCCCCAAATCTGTGGAGGTGACAAAGGCAGTTCTAGGAGTAAAGTACATAGCAATACAGGCTTACCCCAAGAAACAAGAACAATCCCAAATAAACAGTCTAAAATCACAATTAAAGAGACTAGAAAAAGAAGAACAAATGAAAACCAAAGTCGGTAGAAGGAGGGACATAATAAAGATCAGAGCAGAAATAAATAAAATAGAGAAGAATAAAACAATAGAAAAAAAATGAATGAAACCAAGAGTTGGTTCCTTGAGAAAATAAACAAAATAGATAAATCCTTAGCCAGACTTACCAAGAAAAAAAGAGTATGTTATGTACACACATAAACAGAATCAGAAACAAAGAAGAAATAATCACAATGGATACCATAGAAATTAAAAAATTACAAGAGAATACTATGCAAAATTATATGTCAATAAATTGGACACCTTAGAAGACATGGACAACTTCCTAGAAAAATACAACCTTCCAAGACTGACCCAAGGAAGAAAGAGAAAATCTGACCAAGGAAGAAAGAGAAAATCTGAACACACCAATTACAAACAATGAAATCAAATTGGTAATTTAAAAAAACCCAAAAACAAAACTCCACATCCAGATAGCTTCACAGCCAAATTCTACCAAACATTTAAAGAAGAGCAAGTACCCATCCTTCTTAAAGCATTCCAAAAAGTAGAAGAGGACAGAATACTTCCAAACTCATTCTATGAGGCCAGCATCACTCTAATACCAAACCAGACAAAAACACCACAAAAAATGAAAATTACAGACCAATATCCCTGATGAACATAGATGCAAAAATCCTCAACAAAATATTACCAAACCAAATTTAAAAAACACATCAAAAAGATCATCATGACCAAGTGGGATTTATTTCAGGGATGCAAGGACTTACAATATTCAATAATCCATCAATATCATACACCACATCAACAAAAAGGACAAAAACCACATGATCATCTCCATAGATGCTGAAAAAGCATTTGACAAAAGTCAACATCCATTCATGATAAAAACTCCCAACAAAATGAGCATAGAGAACAAATACCTCAACATAATAAAGGCTATATACCACAAACCCATAGCTAACATCATACTTAACAGCAAGAAGCTGAAAGCTTTTCCTCTAAGATCAGGAACAAGACAAGGATTAAGGATGCTCACTCTCACCACTTTATTCAACATAGTACTGGAGCTCCTAGCCACAGCAATCAGACAACACAAATAAATAATAGGAATCCAAATTGGTAAGGAAGAAGTTAAAAATCTTTTTGCAGATGATGTGATATTATACATAGAAACTCTAAAGAATCCACCAAAAAACTACTAGAACTAATATCTGAATTCAGCAAAATTGCAGGTTACAAAATCTGTTGCATTCCTATATACTAACGATGAACCAGCAGAAAGAAAAATCAGGAAAACAACTCCATTTACAATTTCATCAGGAAGAATAAAATACCTAGGAATAAACCTAACAAAGGAGATGAAAGACCCATACTCTGAAAACTACAAGACACTCCTGAGAGAAATTAAAGATACTAATAAATGGGAAATCTATCCTATGCTCACAGATAGAAGAATTAATACTGTTAAAATGGCCATCCTGCCCAATGTAATCCCTATCAAAATACCAACAGCATTCTTCAATGAACTAGAACAAATAGTCCTAAAATTCATACGGAACCACAAAAGACCCTGAATAGCCAAAGCAATCGTGAGAAAGAAGAACAAAGCTGAGGGGATTATGCTCCCTGACTTCAAGCTCTACTACAAAGCCACAATAATCAAAACAATTTGGTACTGGCACAAGAACAGACCCATAGATCAATGGAATAGAATAGAGCACTCAGATATAAATCCATGCATCTATGGTCAATTAATATATATGAAAAAGGAGCCATGAATATACAATGGAGAAAAGACAGTGTGGGTAAAACTGCAACATTTCCAGAATCTCTTGCCTGGCTTTAGTCCATCAAACTATAAAGCTTCTGTACAGCAAAGGACACCATTAGCAGAAAAAAAAGGCATCCTACCATATGAGAGAATATATTCATAAATGACTCATCTGATAAGAGGTTAACATCCAAAATATATAAAGAACTCACATGCCTCAACACCCAAAATCAACCTGATAAAAAAAAGGGCAGAAGACCTGAACAGACATTTCTCCAAAGAAGAAATACAAATAGCCAACAGGCACATGAGAAGATGCTCCACATCACTAATCATCAGGGAAATGCAAATTAAAACCACAACAAGAGACCAGTCAGAATGGCTACTATTCAAAAGACAAGAAATAACAGATGCTGGCTAGGGTGCGGAAAAACTGGAACCCTTCTACACTGCTGGTGGGACTGCAAATTGGTGCAACCTCTGTGGAAAGCAATATGGAGGTTCTTCAAAAAATGAAAAATAGAAATACCATTTGACCCACTAATTCCACTCCTAGGAATTTACTAGAAGAAAACAAAATCCCTGAAAAGACATATGCACCCCTATGTTTATCGCCACATTGTTTGCAGTAGCCAAGATATGGAAGCAACCTAAGTGTCCGTCAATAGATGACTGGATAAAGAAGATGTGGTATATATACACAATGGAATATTATTCAGCCACAAAAAGAAAAGAAATCCTGCTATTTGCAACAAAGTAGATGGATCTAGAGGGTATTATGCTCAATGAAATAAGCCAGGAGGAGAAACATAAATACCATATGGTTTCACTTATTTGTGGAATATAAAAACAAAGCAAAACAGAAGGAAAGAAACAGCATTAGACTCAAAGACACTGAGAAGTGACTAGTGGTTACCAATGGGAAGGGGAGTGGGCAGCGGTGGGGGGATGGACTGTTGGAACCATTGTGATGTACATTTGATTAAAAGAACAAACAATTCCACTCATGTCACCATTTTCTTTGTTTGGAAAATACATATTTTTCATAAAAATATGCTATTTATGTTATATATGGCTTACTATTTTTTTTTTTATTTTGGTATCATTAACCTACAGTTACAGAAAGAACATTATGTTTACTAGGTTCCCCCCTTCACCAAGTCCTCCCCACATACCCCTTCACAGTCACTGTCCATCTGGGTAGTAAGATGCTGTAAAATCACTACTTGTCTTCTCTGTGTTGCGCTATATGGCTTACTATTAATAAATTATTTAAAAAATTTTCTCATCCTCAATACTGTTGAAGAATGTGAAGGGAAGGGGTTCTGACACCAAAAGTTTGAGAATCACTGGGTTAAGGTATTCCCTGCAAGGAAATTCATGGCTATTGGCAAAGCAGAATACTTTTTCCAAGACAGCCAGAGTCCACTAACAGTTAGAAAAATGATAATGACGAGATTGGGTTGGCAGCTTCCACCATAAGCATGATACAATAAAGGTTTACTTTATGCCAGGTACAATACCCAAGGCTTTACATTCCATATTTTATTTTAACTCTCACAGCAACTCTACTAATTAGGTGCTATTACCATTCTCATTTTAGAGATGAGAAAACTAAAGTCTAGAGTGATGAAGCACCCAAGGTTACAAATGTCTAAAGAATGAAGCTGGGGCTGGAATCCAGGTTTGTGATGCCAAAATTGTGCTTTTAATCCCTACACTATAACTGCAAGGTATTGAATTAAATTTCAATTTGGAATTATGTCTAAGAAAATTTCATTTCAGTTCCGTCATTCCTAAATTCATGTCTGCACATGTGTGTTTACAAATGTTAGGATTACACTACTCATGGCTGACAGACATTTAGGAGCTTGGAATTTCAGAATTTGCAGAAAAGCAACTTTATGAAGTGAATTACCAAGCATAGAATGACCATGTAATAAGAAAATTTTGCTGTAGCTTTTATTATTCACAAATTGTAAGGATAACTGATAAAATTTTAGAGTTGGCAACTGCAGACCTTGCTTCATCAGCAGTGTCACTTTTTAGAAGTGAGGTTATTCAACCTAGAAGAAGTAGCTACCAAGTGTCCTGACACTGTGTGCATGTGTAGGCTAGCTTACTATTTTAAAAAACATTAATTAAAAATAAATATCTATTCAAAGAATTTGACATTGAGCTTATACTTAGTGGTTTAGAACTCTCTAAAAAGTAGTAGGACTTTTCCTGATAATTAAACTATTACTGTAAAAATTAAAGTGCCCTTAAACTTGGTGACAGATACATGTCTTTTTAGTAATTGCTTAATTCTAACAAATGCTAAATTAACATTATAAAATTTTTAAAAAGTGGCCTCTTCAGAAGCTTTGGTAATTTAGATAGGTTTAAAAAACTTTTTTTTAAAGGGACTGCTACTTGTTGTATTTCTGATCACATGGAAAAACTACCCATGAGGTTTATGTCAGTTAAATTACTGTGAATAGAATATTTTAATATTTTATTTCAGTAACTTGCTAATATTACATGTTGACAATACATGTCACAAATGCCAAATGTGGTATTAGCTCTGTTCTGCAGTGTGTTAGCCAAAATTTGGTTTAAAAAAAAAATCTCAAAAGTAACAAGAACAAAATGTTACCTTTTTAACACCAATCTGGACAGCTCTCTCTATTACATCCTGTAAATCATCTGTAAAAAATGAAGCTCACATTAAGAAAACCTGGTTAAAAAAATTCAATGAGCTATAATTTAATTATCTCAGTAATACTTTTTTTAAAAAAGAGGGACACAGAAAGAAGCATGCTTGCTAAATCAGTCAAATCAATACCTTTGATGAGTACTATAAAAACACAACTAGTGATAACCTTAAAAAAAAAAAGAAGAAACCCACATAAGGCAACCTAGATGAAGAGTTACCCACTTAATTGTATTTTTATTCTGTTGATCAAAAACTATTTTACTGACAAAAATCGGGAGGTTCAAACTGAAGATGAATTTGTTCACTACAATTTAGGCACTTGCCTTCAATTTGAAACTTTGTTATTATATTTTTAAAAAGTAAAACTAGGCTTTTGGAGTACATCTGCAATGCCTCACAAGCCATGATACAACAGCTCTTTGTAAATTTCAGTTAATGCTATATATTTATAATTACCATCCCCATTAAGAAGGGATAATTTTTTATTTCCCCTGACAGTTGTTTTTTGCTTTTTCCCAAAATTCACTGTTAAGTAACAAACATTTCTGAGGAGATAAATAGTAATTACTAAGCTTGAGAGGCCTCAGTATTTACCTTTTTTAAAAAAATGGACATCAAAATTAAACAAGTATATCCTAAAAATGCATTTAGTAATATCATATTTAAGTATCACAGTAAATATGGTTAGAATTCAATTACTTTTACTTCTAGAGTAGCAATAAAATTACTTTTAGACAATATCAACTTAGTGAAATTATAATTAGTAGGGCAACCAGTTTTGCTAAATATTATAACCTATAGTATTGATCAGAGTAAAACTTCATAAGCACACATATACAACCATATATGTACAGTCACAAAGCATGAAACCTATTAAGTGTTACAAAAGCAACAGAAGCAGAATGTAACTTAATCAATAGTCTACAATACTCAAGTAATATCTCTTAAGCATAAAACATAAAAACCTCATCTAAACTTCTAATGAAGTAGAAAAGGTAAGTTTTGAGGTAAGGCTTATGAAAGCTAACATTTACCTTTCTTGGATATCAAGTGACATCTAACAGTCCCTAAATTCAGAGAAGCTTTTGCATAGTATCACCTAGAAGCATAATAAGATTAGCTTCTGACTTAGATTGTCGAAATGTGCACTCCACAACATCCAAAACTAAACTTTCCTGTTGTTATTTACATAACAAGTAATTTTATGAGGCAATATTTTATGAGGCAATAATATACAAGATTACAGAAATTCTGCTTTCAAAAACCTGTCACCATCATTTCCTGTTTAGTCATCTCAGCTGACAAAATATGCCTTTTAAGTGAACTTGGTGAGATAAATATAAGCCATTTTGCTTTTAGCTAAGCTTTGCGTCAGTCTCTGAGGTTCCATTCCCACATCCATTGCAGGACTCTAAGATCCAGTAGGACTTAGATGCAAAGGGGGAAAGGCAGGACACCAAAGGTGGCCAGCAGTGCACCTCCTCCTCAATCTCATTACCACTCTATCACACAGCTGAAAATGTTTCCGAAAAACTAGATATTACACTGATGTTCAACTGTGATTTTTGAATCATGTGCCCTACTTTTCAACTATTTAAAAGACTAACTAAACAATCGACTATTGTTTGACTTTTATGCATATGGTTATTTAATCTATATTCAAAACTTCACATAAGGGCTTGAAAAGTTTGTTATAACAGGTACTTTATAAATGCTTAAGATCATTGCTTACCAATATAGTTGATACGTGCTTCACTTTGTTTATACTTATACCCAAGAAGGATAAAGGCCTTTAATATTTCAATTATAAATGTGAATTATGATTTTCATGATCTCCTTGAGGCAGAAATTTGTCTTCACAGAGAAACTATTTACTTCATTTAATAAAAGAAACATTTTTACCTTGATGCTTTTGAACCCCTCTATAAACTCCTCTGAACATAGGATCTGTTAAGTTGATACCAATATCTATGGAAAGCAAAAGTAAAATAAATGATCAGTAAGACCTTGTGGGTAAAATTGCAAAATTTCTAGAATCTCTCGCCTGGCTTTAGTATATCTCCATATCAATAGATGTTTCAAAGGGGTGGAGAGAAGTAGTCATCTACATATCAATAGGTAATTACAAGGGCCAGCAAGGGACTGGAGAGGTAAGATGGAGTTTTTTATTCTGCTGGAGAAGCCCAGTTGAAAGGGATGCGTGACAACTGCTTCTAAGCAATAATAAACGGGTTTCTTAAGCTTTATTTCTCTCTTTGATTTCGGTTTCAAAGGTATTTTGCCCCAGGATTTCCCCTCCCTGGAGTTACATCTGGCAGTAGTCAGCAGGACCTCTGAACCGGAAATCTGTCTACATGTGTGCAAAATTTGGGCGGGCTGCCCCAGAGATGGTGGGAAGATGCATGGAACCCCCCTGTGGATAGCGGGGAGGTCCCAGGGCTGCAGCAGTAGAGGATGCAGCTTTACCCAGGAAGCCCCTACCTCTGTGGCTTCCAATTGAGGAGCCCCTAGTGGGAAATTGGTCTGGATAAATTACCTCCGAGAGGGGTGGGGCCTTCCCCACAATTGGGGAAGGGTGGAGACACTGGAAGCTGTGGAATTAGCCCTCCGTGAGGCAGAAGACTGCTTAGAGGCCCTGAGTGGCCATGTAGCAGCTGGCATTGTAGGATATTTCTTTGTCAAGACAGTGGAAAGGGTCATCAAGGAGACAGACAGACGTTGGCATCGCTTGGAAGAGCTGGGCGATGTCTTATGGGATGCCCTTAAGGAAGACAAAGTTCTTGAGAAGATGGGTCGCGCTCCTGGAAGATTCCTTAGCAGAAGTGAGGGGGGAGACAGCAGGAGAAGCCGCGTTGCAGGAGGCCATGGGGGAGGGGGAGGAAAGAGTGGTGCCTTCAGCCCCGGGGATGGAAGAGGATGGCAGGAGAGGTGGGGGGGTGGGTGAGGATGCAGGGGCCAGGGGCCAATCTGCTGCTGAGGCCACCACCTGAGGTACCAGCCCCACCTGGCAGTAATTAAAAAAATAAAAACAAAACCGCAGGCTCCTCAGGAGAGGAGCCGCCCTCTCCCCAGGTTGTGGAGCACTCCATGCTCCATCCCTATACTCAGGATGAGCGGGTGGACATGAGCATCCGGTATAGGCAGAAGCCACTGGAATCTCTGCCTACAGGGCTTTAGGTCTTTGGGATATGGGGGTGGAAAACATTGTTATTGTTATGTTGGGTCCTGAAATGAGTAGACTGGCTTCCCTGAGGACTCACCCTTCCCTCCAGCAGTGGTTGCAAAGTGCCCATCATGCCTCAGGGTATCAGACTCTTCTGGATTGGCTGACAGCTGCCATCAGGGCAGTTTGGCCTAATCAGGGTGATTTACCATACTTACCCACTAGCTAAAAAATGTATGTAGAGCTCCAACATGTGTTGCGGGAATTGGATATGAAAAATATCATCTATAACACAGACCCCCAAGGCCCTGATGAGGAGTTGTTCATGGTAGGAATGAGAAATCTGGTGCTGCATACAGCTCCCACATCTCCCTTTGGGTCCCTAGTGACCGCTCTTGCCTCCCACATAGGGCAACCCATAAGTGAGGCTACTTGTACTTTAGCAGATCTAGGGGAGGTTGAAACAATAAGGGCACGGAAGGAAGTATGGGCTATGGCTGAAAGGAGAGGAGCAAAGGCCCCGTGAAGGTCTTGAGAACCCACATGTGGATTTGATAAAGGCTAGGGTAGTGAAAGAAAAACTTGATGGGCAGTCCAACAGGATCTTGTTAGAACTGTGGCACCAATTAAAGCCAGTGCAGCAGTTCCAGCTGCTGAGGTCCAGGACACTGAAGCTAGAGTCAAAGCCTCATGTCTGGCCTGTGTCCCTGCAAAACTTCCTGCGGAACAGTACTCAGGATTTGCCTGGGCCCTCACCCCCACCAGAGGGCAATTGGGCATCGTGGTTCAACTGGGGATGGGGGGGTCAAGGTCCCCACCTTGGGGGACCATGGTGGGGACTGGAGGCTACATTGGTCCTCTGTAAATGCACATGTCCTGGCGCTGGTGGACACAGGAGCTGAGTGTTCTTTGATTTATGGCAACACTGAGTGTTTTCCTGGGACCCCTGCTGTGATAGATGGCTATGGGGGTAAGGCAATTAGAGTGAAGAAAGCCCAAATCCCATTGGGAACAGGGTGTTTACCCCCAAAGGAGTATACAGTGTACATTTCTCCCATCCCTGATACATTTTGTGGGTAGATATCTTGCAGGGTCTGTGGTTACAGACCACTGCAGGTGAGTTCAGACTGAGGGTACATGTGGTAAAGGCAGTTCTGAGGGGACATGCTAAGCACCCACCTGTAGCTCTCCCTGTACCTCCGCGGGTGACAAATACTAAGCAGTATAAATTGTCAGGGGCGGGGGAGGAACACAGAAGATTGGAGAAACTCTACGGGAGTTGGAGAAGGTAGGCATCATAAAGCCCACTCATAGTCCTTTTAATTCCTCAGTGTGGCCAATGAAAAAGCCAGACGGCTCCTGGTGTATGACCAAAGACTACAGGAAATTGAATGAAGTCACACTCCCTTTGCATGCTGCTGTCCCTTCTATAGCAGCCCATATGGTCACACTCAGTCATGAACTGGGGACGTATCATTATGTTGTAGACCTTGCTAATGCTTTCTTTTCTATTGACATAGCACATGAAAGTCACGAACAGTTTGCCTTCACATGGGAAGGCCAGCAGTAGACATTCACTGTCCTTCCCACTGGGATACCTCCACCATTTGTCACGGACTTGTAGCCCAGGACTTAGCCACATGGAAGAAACCACAAATGGTGTGGCTGTATCACTACATTGATGATATTATGCTCATGTCTGATTCTCTTTCAGAGTTAGAAGGGGCAATTCCTAGACTGCTACAACATCTACAGGAGAAAGGATGGGCTGTCAACAGCACCATAGTTCAGGGAACTGGTTTGTCTGTAAAATTCTTGGGGATTGTCTGGTCAGGTAAAACTAAAGTTATTCCTGAAGCAGTCATAGACAAGGTCCAGGCTTTCCCTATCACAACCACTGTGGCAGTATTACAAGAGTTTTTGGGTCTTTTGGGCTACTGGAGAGTGTTTATTCTGCACTTGGCACAAATTCTGAAGTTGGTACAAAAGGGCACCAGGTGGGACTGGGATGAAACATCTGCAGCTGCTTTTACTGCTGCTAAGAGAGCAGTCAAGGCCGTACAGGCCTTGAGTGTAATGGACTCATCAAGGCCCTGTGAGCTGGATGTTCACGTAACCAAAGATGGTTATAGATGAGTTCCTTGGCAGTGGCTTGAACAGACATGCCAACCTATTGGATTCTGGCCACAACTATGGAAAGGAGCAGAGGTCTGGTACACCCTGATAGAGAAGCAACTGGCTGCTCTGTATCCTGCCTTGCTGGCTACGGAGCCCATCACCGGAAAAGCTCCAACCAATGCAATAACCACCTATCCCATTGTAGGGTGGGTACGAGACTGAACCCAAAGGCCACAGAGTGGGGTGGCACAGATGCCTACATTGGCCAAATCAGGTGCATATTTACAGTAGTGCAGTACTCTCTCTACTTGAAGGGCCCCCAACAGTAAGATGGCGAATTTCCAGCTTCTCTTCGGGGTCCTCGGTTCCCGCTGGCACCACCTGAAGCCCAATCACCTCTCGCCCCGCTCCCAATCCCAGCACCTAGCCAATAGTCACCAGCCCTGTAGAAGTAACACCACAATCACCCCATGCCCCTTCCTATAACCCAGCACCTTTCCCTAATAAAGCGGAATTCTCTGGTAAATTGCTGCTGTGTGTCGCTCCTTTCCTTTCACTACTAGCCCCTTAAATGGAGAACTCCAATGCTTATTGGGGCCAGGGACATATTCAGGTGGAAAGCAGGAAAAACTTGCTTTTGAGCCATTGGTAGTGGAGAGTCCTTATCAGGAGGGAAAAGCCACTATACCTGAAGATGCTTGGTATACAGACAGCTCCAGTTGTGGGCAGCCCCTGAAGTGGAGTGCTGTGGCTTTCCATCCTAAGACTGAGACAATACGGATGGAGAAGGGAGAGGGGAAGAGCAGCCAATGGGCTGAGTTGCGGGTAGGATGGCCCGTGATCACCCAGGAGCCTTCCCCCATAGTTGTCTACATTGACAGCTGGGCTGTCTATTAAAGCCTGACCCTGTGACTAATGACATGGTACCATACCAACCGGGTGGTTGGTTACTGGCCCCTTTGGGAGCAAAAGCTGTGGCAAGACCTATGGGCCTCTGGTCAGACTGAGACTGTTACTGTTTATCATGTGACTGGCCATTTGCTTTTGGCATCCCCAGGGAATGATGAAGCAGACAGAATGGCCCAGATGCACTGGTTAGAAGGAAAGTCTGCCTCTGATGTAGCCCAATGGTTACATCAGCATTTGTTGCATGTGGGGCAAGACAATGTGGGCTGTAGTCCATCAGTGGGGCTTGCCATTAACCACTGAAGAATTCAGCAGAGCCTGGAAGAGTACCTTGTGTGCTCTAAGAGGGACTTAACACTGAGTCCTGCAGCAACATGGGACAATAGTAAAGGAGCCAATACCCCTTGTCAGGTGGCAGATAAAGGATCCTCTGCCTTTATCAGAAGGATATCGGTATGCTATGACTTGTGTGGACATGGCTACTGGATTATTGGTTGCTTTTCCTGCACATTGTGCAGATTAGCAAACCACCAAGGGGGGCCTAGAGCATCTCTCTGCAGCCTATAGCCAGCCGCAGGTCATTGAAAGTGATCAAGGCACCCTCTTTACTGGACATGCATTATAAGGATGGGTTGTAGGAATTAGGAATAAAGTGGAAGTTTCATGTACCATACAACCCTACCAAGGCAGGGATGAAAGAGAGGTATAACAGTTTGTTGAAATCTGGCCTTAAGTCGGACACCAGTAGTTTATGAGGCTGGTCAGTTGACTTATGGACAGT